TCCTTCCAAAAAAAAAAAAACCCCATTAAAAAAACTCAACTAATTTGCATCACGTGCAAAACGCTATACTAATCAAACGGTGTCATTTTAATTATAGGATTGAGTGGGAGATAAAAAAACAAAAACAAAAACAAAACAAACAACAACAAAACTTAGATCTAGTAAGTCTGTGGGAAAATAAGTGAGCGTCACTTAGTCGAGTGGAACGTTGACGTCACACAGCACCAGGCTGCTCATGACGGAGCCCACGAGTATCCTCCCTTGGTGCGGCACTGCCACAGACGAGCCTGAGATGAGGGCGCCCTCGTCATACAGCAGCTCCCGGATACCTTCCTCCAGCACTTTGCCTTGTCGGAGAGGTAGGGCTAGGACCTGGGGGTTTGGTTCTTCTTCTTCTTCTTCTTCTTGATAAAAAAAGAATTAGTGGCGTTCGTGGGGAAGAATTTAGACACTTCACCGTCGCACGCAGAAGGACCAAGTTCGATTCCTGTTTAAGGGGAATTTTTCATCGAAAACTCCGGTCTTCCGACAGGAACGTTGTTTCCCTCTCTTCGAGGGTTGGTAGCCCGCCCACTAAATGATCTGAATTGTGTCGACAAAAGGCATGAAAACACCTACATTTTTGAAACCCCAAAATATCAGAAGTCAAGTGAGGAAATCTGGAAGGAACTAAAGCCGCTTTTGCTAGGTAATAATACTGAAAACTCTTCACGCTACAAATACTTTGCGGGAATAAGCAAACGCTGACAATATTCAGTGACATGTACAGTCTTGAGTTCTTTACGAGTGAAGGCAGTAAACTGATTACATTTATTGTTACTATTACTCAGACTTGCTTGCTCGCTCGTGTAGCGTTTTAAGAGAATGGAAAGTCTCGTCGGTAATAATAATAGATAACATTTGTATAGCGCAAATCCTCACTCAACACCAAGCTCTATGCGCTTCATAATCTGTACTATTACCCCAGCAGACCTGAGAGCATTCTGAAACAACCTCAAGTAGTATTTAAGTTTTGAGTAGTTTTCACATTTACGATGTTACATCATCATCATCATCATCATCATCATCATCATCATCATCATCATCATCATCA